AAAGGTTGTGCACAGCGATGCAGCCCTTTTCATGGAATCAGCCCCGTCCAACCCAAGACTTCTGGAGCTCAAGTGGGGTCTCCAGGCTATCAAGATAAAGCACCTCCAGCAGCTGCTGGAGACACTCCAGGTTGAGCTCAGTCGTGTTAAGAATCAAAACACAGCTTCAGGCAGTGCGCCTGTTCCTCGGAGGAGCAGATCCAGCTCAGACCCCTCTTCTTCAAAGTAAACGGAGTTCAATGTCGTTGGTAGCACCCAAGTCTTTCAGTTCAGCGGCAGAATTTATATTACATCATGGGCACACTGGGCTACTTTTGTTTTGGCTTAGATGAGCGAAGTTTCTATGGCTACAGGTTTTTGGTAGAATCCTCCTTTTGTGTTGGTCAGTTCTGCGTTTGGGTAGGACATTCGTCAGCTACCCAGCGTTCTTTAACCTTCACGCGTCCCGTATCCTTTTGGCCAGCATGGCAGTACTGTTGAAGCAGGTTGCTTACTTTCTTCAGTTTTCCTTGTCAGGTGATAGTTAGGGCAGCTGCATTTCTGCCCAGTTTATTCTTACTCTTATCAGGGGTCCAGGAAAGTCTGGCGAAGTAATCCCCTAGTCTTTCTTTTCTTCATCCCTTATGGGGGATGGTAAGGCTTCGCTTTGCTAGGGGTCAGCCCATTAGTATGTGAGAAATGAGTTACCCCAGTGCATTGCAGTTGATCTCCTTCCCCCACTTGCTCCTTCATGCATCTCCCCTCCCTCCTTCCTCCCTCCAGACAGTTCAAGGAATTGGCAGCCAGGTCGCAGGCGAAAGCAAGTGGCCTTCCCTGGCGGGTCTTGCCATGGTCTCACCATGCCCGAAAGTCCGAACCTGCAAGTTGGCGTTCAGGGATGGTTCGTGTCTGGGGAGGAATTGGTGGGTGGGATGGGATTCTCCTCCCCGTTCTGGGGAAGGTCTGCGTCGATCCGTCTGGCCTGGGCACGGCTCATTAGAAGGTGGGCAGCGTTGAACCCGGGCTAGTTGTTTCATGCGTTTTCCTTCTCCTCCTTTCCTCCTCCTGGGGTAGAGTTCGTTGGAGCCGAATCGGAACTGGCAGCGCCCCAGGCAATGCCTGGGGGTCAGCTGCTGTCCGAGGAACGCGCCTGTGCTTTAGATCATCCCCGAAGCGAATGTCAAAAAAAAACCCCAGGAACCCCATGCATCACTTTATGGAAGGACGACGACGAGTGAGCGCGGGAAGGAAGGACGGGCAATGAAGAGAGAAAGGGGACGACGGCAAGTGGCAGTGTGGAGAACACACCCCAAAAACGCCGGAACAGGTCCCCACGGGAATCCCAACCAAGAGAACGGAGCGGACGCCAGGATCCCCGTGCAGAAACGAGCGTCGTAATTATGGAGACGCCAGGCAGCCAGCATTGCGGAGGCCGACACCAATGTTTATCCATTCGCGTTTCCCCACCAACACGTGATGCCAAGGGGAGTTGTATGAAAGAGATGCGCAGATAAGCATGTAATGGAACAGTGAGGCGTGCAATGCTGCAGTTCGAGACCTCGAGGGACCTCTTTTGAGCCCTGTTCGGGCATTTCGTATGCATCTTGCGCTCTCTGTGGGACTCTTTGGGGATCCTCTTGAAGTCCTTCAGGGCCATCGTGGAGCTCACTTAGATCTATCTTGGAGCCATCTTGGACGCTGTGGGGACCCTGCTGGGGCCATCTTGGAGGTCACCGTGCAGAAACGGTAGCAACGCCGACTACAGCCCCCCGTCGAAGCTCCAGATTCGCTTCCTGGTGCCATCTTGCGGCGCTCTTGGTGTCCTCTTGCCGTTTTGGGGCTTTCATTGGCGCATAGTGTTGCCCATTCGGGCTATCTTGGAGCTACCTCGAGGCCTCAAGCGAACTCCTGAAATTGAACAGCAGGAAGGTAACACCTCCGAGTAACGTTAATGCTGATCATTCGGGGACCTCCTTGAGGGGCTCCTTGGCCACCGGCAGCCGCCTTGGAGCGGTCTTGCGGCCTCTAGGATGAAAGGGGCCCTGGGACACACACATAAATTCACACAAATAAGAATATCCCCAATATTTTCCTATATTTTCTGGGTTTTTGTCTTCCCCCCCACTTCCCATATTTTCCAATATTTTCGGGGGAATCGACGATTCATTGTGTCTGTGTGTTTCCTCCCTCCTGACCGGAGACAAGTTAGAAGCCGCATGGGACCATCTTGGCTACTCTCGCAGATCTTGCAGCCGTCTTGGGCTGCTCGGGCCCCTCGTGGAGCCAGTTTCAGCCCTATCGGACACTCCGACGCATCGAGGGCGGTGTCCAAACCTTGGCATCGCTCGGACGTGTGCATTTTTCCTTCGGCGAGGACTATCGAGGAGCATCCCTGATCATTTGGCGAAAAAGCCACGCACGAAACCGAAAGAAACACAAGAAATGGACGTCCGAGCGATGGCCAGAAACCCAGGGGGAGGGGGTAGAGAGAGAAGCACCCCCCTTCCCGAAGCGGAATATAAAGGGGTGAGAACAACGACCTCGCACAACTCCTCACGCCCCCAAGGGCTGGCCAGGTTCGCAAAACGAATTGGACAGTGAAGCAACACACAGATGGAATAATGCAGCAAATGGCGCCACTGCAAAACGAGGACGAGTTCATCGGAGGGGGGCGAGGACGGCAAGGCGGAAAGAGCGAGGCAATGATGGATTAGCCGTGGAGATATATGATGACGATCGGAAGCAGGGGGAGCGTTCAGGACGACGACACATCTGACGCGCATTTCTGTGCAAAACAATTTGAAGGCTTGAAAGCACTGTCGACACGAGCCTGCAAGCGCTCCTGAAGAGCTTACCGCTTCTGTTTCGGCCGTTGCGCTTGCTTCCAAGGCGCACGGCTACCTAGAAGCAGAGCGCGCGCGGAGGGCTCGCAGATGTTTCTAGTATTTAACGATACCCGGCGATTGGGTCCCTTGGCCGGGGGGCGACACACTTTTCCAAAACTCCCCCCGCGGGCGTCAAACTTTGGTCCCAGGGGCTGGCGGGCCTTCTTGCTTCTTGTGGGTGTTTGAAAGCTCGGGGGGTCTCTCTGGGCCTCGAAGGGCGTCTTCGCTGGCCCCAGAGGACACTCAGAGGCCGCCAAGACAGCCCCAAGACCGCCCGAGAGTGCAGCATAAGGGCCCAAGAGGCCCCCTAATACGGCCCAGGGCAGCTCCGAGAGCCCAAGCAGGCTCTCGAGGAAGTCTCCGAGAGGCCGCCGAGGGGCCAACTTTGTCAACGAGCCACAAATTTCAGGAGGGAAAAAGCACACAGACACAGTTAATCATCGATTCCCTAGAAAGTATAAGAAAATATGGGAAGTGGGGGGGAAGACAGAAACCCAGAACATATGGGAAAATATGGGGAATCTTTTTATTTGTGTGTATTTATTTGTGTGTCCTGGGGCCCCTTCAAAATTGCCGCACAATGTTTGCATTCCTGCTTTTGGTTTTGAAGACGGCACATAGCGCTCCCGACATCGCTGCGAGACGGCCCAGAGGGCCCCACCGAGCACCCCAAGACTGCCCTGGACGGCCCCAAGACGGCCCAAGAGGGCCCCAAGACGAGCCCATGAGGCCCCCAGGACGGCCCGATGACGCCCAAGGAGGCCCCAAGACGGCCCACACAGGCCTCCAAGTCAGCCTCCCAAGGCTTCTGTTGAGCCAAAAGTTCTAAGACAGCTCAAAAGAGCTCCAAGAGACGCGCCGCATGGACTGCACCGTTTGGATTGCACCATATAGACTACATCACACTTGCCCCTCCTCTCCACATCTTTGCAGTTTCCCAGGATGCGCCACGTATCAATCGACCCATTTGAGGTGTGAGCCGGATGGTCATGCATCAAGCGTTAGCGAGCAGTGAGACAATTTGGCTTCGTATCGCCCGATGCGTGTCTTCCCTTCCTCTGATTAGTGGGTGTTGGACTTTTCCGGGGCACCAGGACCCCACAGGGAGCGTTGCCTGATGACCCAGGGGGGTCGTGCCCTCTTCCTCCGGTTGCCCCCTGGGTCTGGGACGAGACGCCAGGCCAGGGGGATGCGAAGGCCGCACGCGCGCCCCGCTGCGCGAGAGGAATCCGCCCCCGATCGCGACATGCGCCCGGAGGGTACGCTGGGGCGAGGCGGGTCGTCAGTTGGAATTGGTGGGCTCGTCTTCCACCACAACCATAAGTTGGAGGGGGGAAGGAGGTCGAGGAAGAAGAGGGAGAAGAGGAGGAGGACCCCATCCCCCTCCTACTTATGGTGGTAGCGGTGGAAAACAAGCCCACCATGAATACAGATTCTCAAGCGCACATATGCTTTTGGAAATCAGTAACCTGCACCTCTCCTGCCTTGCAGGGGCCTCAAGATGTTTCACGATGGCCTCCAGACGACCCGAAGTCCTAGGATCGCCCGCGATGATCCCATGAGGGGCTGAGTACTGTGCCCCCACGACTCCCGTTTCAGAGCGCCCGGAAAGCGCCCCGATGTCCCTGGAGGCCAACCCATTTGCTTCCCGTGCGTTTCTGTCCGATTTCAGCGTTCTCCACGTTCCTAGCTGCAGGTCGTCCAAGACAGTCCACGATGCACCGAGGCAGCCCAAGATGCCACCAAGACAGCTCCGGAGGCTTCCACTATGGGATCCAGAGACACTCCATGGATGCGTCCAAGAGACCCCGCGACGACCACACTCAGCCAAGTTATTTCCCTCTCTCTCTTATCTCTGGGGGTCTTCAGAGGTCCCAATGGTTGCAAACTGGCGACAGGTTCTGGGGCCCCCCGGGACAGCTGCCCCAACCCCCCGTGGCCGCACTGGGGCCCATGCGAGTCTCTCCGGGTGGTCGTCCAGGCACTCAAAGTGTTTTAAGAGAGAAGGATCTCCATGGCCCCAAACGAGGTTCAAGACGGTCCGAAAAGGGTCCCGACGTTGCCCAAGAGCGCCCAAAGCCAGCCTTGGGTGCCTCGAAGATTGCCCAAGAGGCTCCGTGGGGTCCGTGGGGCGCAGGAGTACAGTTGGGCGGCTATTGTTGGAGATTGCACGTTGGACGGCGACTGCATGCAGAGCCCGAACTACCCACAGAAGTATGATGCAAACCAGGCGTGCACCTTGCATATCGATCTGCGGACGGCCGTACCCATCGCGGTGGAGAGTTTCACCACTGAGAGTGGTTATGACAAGCTTACCGTCAACGGAGTGGTCTATTCTGGGTTTTCTGGCCCCAGTGGCATAACGCCCTCGGCGAGTATTTCTTGGACCTCCGACCACAGTCTGCATCAAACCGGGTGGAGGCTTTGCATGCCGGGGGCCAGCTCCGAGTGGTTCCCGCCAACACCTGTTCCGCTGGCCCTGCGACCGCCGCCGCCAACGCCAGCGCCGTCGCCCAATGCTGCTTCACACCTAGGAAAAATAACATTGTATGGAGCTGCGCCAGGTGACATCTTCCATATACCTATACGGAAAATCCGGCCCGGAGGGCCCCCAGGCCGCAGCGCACCTGGGGCACCCAGTAGTCAAGTGGCGTCTCCCGCTCCCGGGGCTTCCCAGAGCGTCCCCGGGCTGCCCTGGGAGACCCCCCGAGCTCCAAGCTAGCTTGGCGAAAGACCCAACCACATGCAGTTTTGAAGACCGCAGTTTTGGGGCAACAAAGCGTGTGAGGTGTGTTGGTGGCGGCGGCATGCGAGGGTCTGCCACTGGGGCATTCGGAAGAGCTCATTACGGTAGAGGGGAGCAGTTACTGAACACTCCCCCTCCCCTCAAACTCAACGTTGGCACGCGCGGGGGAGGCCTGCGGTCGAAGTGCATCTCCACCGCCAACTTTGAACATTGGGGGGAGGGGGAGGCGTTGACAGATGAATGTGGCATGAGTGCTCGCTAATTAGTTCCGGGGCCTGTGGGTATGTTGCCGGGCACGTGGCTACAGTCAAACTGATAGGGGTGCAGAAATACAGGGAGAGGTACACGGGAAAATGTTCGAGGGGAGGACTGCGGAGGAGTCGTCTCAATCATTGCGAAAATCAAACCGTCAACCGTGGACTTACCCCGGACTGAGTCAGACAGGGGCAAGTCGAACTTGACTCTTTGCTTTTCGACTTTCCCGACGAACCACGGCGGCGGCCGACTGACAACGACGACGACGTCCGGGCGCCAAACAAGAAACGGCCAAAGCGGCTGCATGTTGCCATGTCTAGCGCCTGCCCAACGGCCCCGGGGCCCCCCGGAGGCGCTTCGCGCATCCCATCTTAATGTTTCACGTATTACTCGTATCACTCGTTCCAGGCACCCCATATGTTTCGCATATTATTCGTATTACTCGTAAGAAAAAGAATATGCTCAAGAATATCATTGTCTTTTTACGAGTGATACGAGTAAGATGTCAAGAATAAAGAGGGATGGGACGAGTGATCCGAGTCATACGTGGCGAATGAGGCGCGGGGCGACTCGGGCGCCAAACATCAAAATGGGGAGCATATACACGCAGATGTACATATATATATATATATATGTGTCTATCTATGTATACATATGTGTATAGATATATCAAAATGGTCTCGCCGAAATCCTTGCCCGCAGAATCGCTCGGCCAACTCGCCATTGACGGGGCAAACTCAAAAATGTGACGGTAGAAGGAATCAATTATTGAACACTCCCCCTCCCCTCAAACTCAATGTTGGCACGCGCGGGGGAGACTGCGGTCGAAGTGCATCTCATTAGACCCACCGCCATTTTTGAACATTGGGGGGAGGGGGAGGCGTTGACAGATGAATGTGGCATGAGTGTTCGCTAATTAGTACCGAGGCCTGTGGGTACGTTGCCCAGCACGTGGCTACACTCATACAGATAGGGGTGCAGAAGTACAGGGAGAGGTACACGGGAAAATGTTCGAGGGGAGGATTGCGGAGGAGTGGTCTCAGTCACTGCGAAAATCAAACCGTCAACCGTGGACTTACCCCGGACTGAGTCAGACAGGGGCAAGTCGAACATGACACTTTGCTTTTCGACTTTCCCGACGAACCACGGCGGCGGCCGACTGACAACGACGACGACGTCCGGGCGCCAAACAAGAAACGGCCAAAGCGGCTGCATGTTGCCATGTCTAGCGCCTGCCCACCGGCCCCGGGGCCCCCCGGAGGCGCTTCGCGCACCCCACTTTATTTTTCATTCATTATTCGTATCACTCGTGCCAGCACTCCTTAATTCTTCACATATTATCCGTGTCACCCGTAAGAAAAAAGCTCAAGAATATCATTTTCTTTTAACGAGTAGTACGAGTAATATGTGGGATATACAGAGTAATGTGACGAGTGATACGAGTCATACGTGGCGAATGAGGCGCGGGATGGCTCGGGCGCCAAAGCATTAAAAAAGGGGAATCTACTATACATACATATTACATATATATATATATATATATATATCAGAATGGTCTCGCAGAAATCCTTACCCGCAGAATCGCTCGGCCAACTCGCCACTGACGGGGCGAACTGGCACATGTGATGGTTGAGGGGAGCAATTGCTGAACACTCCCCCTCCCCCCCAAACTCAACGTTGGCACGCGCGGGGGAGACCGCGGTCGAAGTGCATCTCATTAGACCCACCGCCAACTTTGAACATTGGGGGGAGGGGGAGGCGTTGACAGATGAATGTGGCATGAGTGTTCGCTAATTAGTTCCGAGGCCTGTGGGTATGTTGCCCGGCACGCGGCTACACTCATATCGATTAGGGCGCAGGAGTACAGGGAGAAGTACACAGGAAAATGTTCGAGGGGAGGACTGCGGAGGAATCGTCTCAATCACTGCGAAAATCAAACCGTCAACCGTGGACTTACCCCGGACTGAGTCAGACAGGGACAAGTCGAACTTGACATTTTGCTTTTCGACTTTCCCGACGAACCACGGCGGCGGCCGACTGACAACGACGACGACGTCCGGGCGCCAAGCAAGAAACGGCCAAAGCGGCTGCATGTTGCCATGTCTAGCGCCTGCCCAACGGCCCCGGGGCCCCCCGGAGGCGCTTCGCGCATCCCATCTTGTTTTTGTGTCACGTATTGCTCGTATCACTCGTCCCAGCACTCCTTAATTTTTCATATATTATTCGTGTCACTCGTAAGAAAAAAAACAAAGCTCAATAATATCATTTTCTTTTCCCGGAAACGGCGCAGGCCCAAGGTTCTGTTTTAGTTTGGTAAACCTGTCCCCGGTGCTTCAACCGAGGTGCGCCGGCGGATTTTGTTGATAAATATCGAGGTCGAGGTGCGCCCGCGGATTACAATTTGAGGACTTCTCGATAGATTTTTTTTAATAATAAAAAAAGTGTTGAGGATGTCTCGACCGAAACACTGGTTTTGCAAAATTGGGGGATGTCTCGAGCGGGGGCCTCGTGGGGGGCCAGAATTTAGAGGATGTCTCACGCGAAATGCTTGTTGCCACGTCCCGCTCGCAGGAACTCCGAGGATGTCTCGCGCGTGCCGCGTCCCGCGCGCAGGAATTTTGAGGACGTCTTGACTAATTCATTCGTTTTGCCATGATTTCCTTGAATTCTGGCAGGATGTCTCGAGCGAAATGCTCGTTTTGAGAATTTGTTGAGGATGTCTCGAGCGAAACACTGGTTTTGCAGAGCCGACCGCGACGCGGAAAAACGCCCCGCGCGCAGGAATTCCCAGCACGACCACACCCCAACACGACCACACCCCAGCACGACCACACCACAGCACGACCACACCCCAGCACGACCCGATCGATAAATCACAGGGCGCGGACCACCCCAGCACGACCACACCCCAGCACGACCCCACCCCGACACGACCCCACCCCAGCACGACCACGCCCCAGCACGACCACACCCCAGCACGACCACACCCCAGCACGACCACACCCCAGCACGACCCCACCCCAGCACGACCCCACCCCAGCACGACCACGCCCCAGCACGACCACACTCCAGCACGACCACACCCCAGCGCGGCCCCACCCCAGCACGACCCCACCCCAGCACGACCATACCCCAGCACGACAGCACACCCCAGCACGACCCGACACCCAGCACGACCACACCCCCAGCACGACACACACCCCAGCACGACCACACCCCAGCACGACCACACCCCAGCACGACCACACCCCAGCACGACCTCACCCAAGCACGACCACGCCCCAGGACGACCACGCCCCAACATGACCACCCCCCAGCACGACCACCCCCCCAGCACGACCACACCCCAGCACGATCACCCCCCAGCGCGACCACACCCCAGCACGACCACTCCCCAGCACGACCACGCCCCAGCACGACCGCACCCCAGCACGACCACACCCAGTCGCACCCCCGTGGGATGTTTCGTGGAGTGTCTGGTTGAGTGGTTTCCTGTTCGCGGGGTGTCTCGTGGAATGTTTCGTGAGGTGTCTCGCGGAATGTTTCGTGAGGTGTCTCGCGGAATGTTTCGTGAGGTGTCTCGTGGGATGTTTCGCGGGGTGTCTCGTGGGATGTTTCGTGAGGTGTCGCCCAGTTGGGTATCGTGAAAACGTGACCATGTTGCACATGTCTTTATCTCTTTCCGGGTTCGTGGGCCCATCGTGTTCACGAGTGATACGAGTAATACGTACAACCATAAAGAGTGTTGGGACGAGTGATGCGCGTGATACGTGGCGAATGAGGCGCGGGACGACCCGGGCGCCAAAACACTAAAAAGGGGAACGTGTACATACATATGTATACATATGTATATATAGACATGTATATATATATATATATACCATAATGGTCTCGCAGAAATCCTTACCCGCAGAATCGCTCGGCCAAGTCGCCATTGACGGGGCAAACAGAAAAATGTGACGGTAGAGGGAAACAAGTACTGAACACCCCCCTTCCCCCCAAATTCAACGTTGGCACGCGCGGGGTAGAATGCAGTCGAAGTGCATCTCATTAGACCCACCGCCAATTTTGAACATTGGGGGGAGGGGGAAGCGTTGACAGATGAATGTGGCGTGAGTGTTTGTTAATTTGTTCCGAGCCCTGTATGGGGCCCAAAAAAATGTAAGGGGTGTTCCTGAGTGAGGTGGCGGCGGTATGCGAGGTCTGCCATTGGGGCCTCTGGTAGAGCTCCTCATGGGGCCACGAAGCGTGTGAATGGTGTGCCAAAGTGGGGTGGCGGCGGCATGCGAGGTCTGCCACTGGTGCCTTCGGTGGGGCTCCCTAAGGGGCCACGAAGCGTGTGAGGTGTGCCAAAGTGGGTTGGCAAGTGTGCGATGAAATGGGGTGGCGGCCGCATGCGAGGGCTGCCACTGGGGCCTTTGGTGAACAGAGTGAAGGAGCAAGGGAGCAGAGTGAAGGTGCTGCCACGACATGGC